CGGAAGTTCCGAAATGAGGTCTGCGGAAGTTCCGAAGAATGCCAACCACAACAGCAAAAGAGAACACCGAAACGAGATTTAAACCTCACCCTACTGAATGTGAGACCCACCTACTATCCTCTACGCTACGGCTGACTGTTCGATAATGCACTCTAATTGTTGGCGAGGCAACATCACGAGACAACACATTCAAAGTCCTGCGGAAGTTCTGGCAGGCTAAAGTGCTGCGGAACCTCTAGCATTTTTCGGAATTTCCGCAGAATTTTGAAGAAGGTTCTGCGCAAACTCCGGTATTCAACCAGTTTCGCATGCTCGCGGAAGTTCCGATTTCCAACGTTTTCATTTTTGCAATGAACAAAATCCTGCGGAATGCGAATTTGGCCTGTCCTGCGGAAGTCCCGGTGATTTGTCTGAGTTGATACACATTTGCCAGGGGCTTAAGTATTATATCGTCTTCCCAGCATTTGATAACAGACGTTTTGCTCAGCTTGCATGGTTCTACTTAAGGCTCAGCCAATATACCAGTAGTCCGAAGCTAAATGCAAGCTCCAAATGCACAATCTTACACTGTCACCGGAGGATACGTTGCTGGCTGGTGCGAGCAAAACATCCTTTGCCTACTTGCTCGTGATCCTCGTGATTTTTCTGTCTGATCTAGTAGTAGCCAGAGTTTTCGTCTTCTAGCTAGCCACATCTCATGCATTGGAGTGGACTTTCTTGTTTTAGTTACTGTTACCAACAATAAGGTATGCTGTTGCATTGCGTTGTCTTCTAACACTCAAAATAGATGAAAGGATTAGCAGAACACTTATGTGCATCGAAAATAAATAGATATTTAGGACTGGTTTGTAGTCAGCGTACTAGAGCTGCTCAATCAATGTACATTTAAGTGGGGAAGGCCACTTCGAGTCAAGGGCTTCCCTGTAAAAAAGATATATCATCAACATTCTGAGCTAAATCTAATAGAAAAAAATTATTTTCTAGCTAATGGATGTAGTGGAGACAGAACAGGACAATGATACTATCTCATTGATGCGTTCACAACAGCTTTTCTGACGTATTCCGCTGTTGTGAGTTTCCATTTCTCAAGGTAACAGTCGCCGTCTTACAAATGGAACTCTGCTAGTTATACTTCACCTTCTCTCTAGATTGTCGTGCTCAGTAGCCATTCTACTTGCCATGATGCTTTGAAACGTTATCATTCTTCGCACAACTTCGTAAGATGAGAGTTATATAGTCTTAAACAGATCAAGATAAATCTAATAACATGATAATATACGCTCACAGAACGTGCAAAATTCCATAGGTGTCATGGAATTTCGGGAAAGTTCGCGACCCGGCATCCCGCGACACTTGGGAATTTCGCGAAGCGGAATTTCGCGGAGTCACGCGAATCAAGCAGACTACAAGCGCCATAACTTCCTTCGGAATGAGTATGTTCTAAATCCGAAGAAAGCATTGTGCTCAGCTCATCGAGGCAGGTCTTTTGATAGACAGCATTTGCTTGTCCGTTTCCAGTGTTATCAAATTTTCCAGCGGACGTCTCTTCGCAAGGATGTAACGCAGCGCACATTCATACATAAAAGTATCCACTAAACACCATACGATAGTGCTGTTTCCTAGATTATTATGCCCTAGAGCAGTCGGAGACTCGATTCCAAAAGAAACAGAGCTGGTGAACTCCGGAAAAATCATGCCGTCTGATATTCTACCCAACATAACCCTGAAATATGGCGCTGTTCGCCAAGCAGAGATCTGATTTCCGTAATCACAGGTCAGATAGCTTCTAAAAGCAAGTTTTCAGGAAGTCCAGGTCATTCGATTTTTCTCGTTTTACGCTCGAAGCTTGTCGATGGGTTTTGGCTGAAATATGATGATCTTGAATTGAAAACCAACTTTGCTCATAGAGGTTTTAGAACACGCTTTACGAAGACGTGGTCTTTTCAGAGTACATGGTCTTACAGTAGAGATATTATAAGGAGCTGTAACTAAGCCATGAAAGTTCGTGAATTCGCCTGAGCTTTTCGCTTTCGCGCATCTTTTAGAGAACTTGAATGCTTTTCTTTACAGATCAAAGTTGCTAAAACCATGCTAGTGAATGGTGCATGCCCCAGGACCAAGTCTCTAATAGTCGCCGGGTTTCGAAGCTTACGAAATCATGTTCCCATGAATGTTGCTCATAACGCAAAATCGCATACTTCGTCAAAATTCCCTCGTGAGTGGTTGCATATGACACCGCCTGCAAGTCTTATGTTCACTTCGCTCAGGGCAACATACTGTGTTGGATACGGTAGTTTATGGGCTTCAGCAACATAGTCAGATATCAAAGCAGCTTCGCGGTGAAGATCTAATCAACCACCGCATCCAATACGATAGTATCCTTTGAGCACATTGAGCATAAATTTTGCAATTGCAATTTCGCGAAGTTCCCGGATTGTGCCAAAAATTTTGGAATGTCGCGGAATTCTTGGAATCTCACCGATTTTGTGGTCCCCGGATTTCCGCGACATTTACGGAAATTTTGCAACTTCTGTGATTAGTAATGTACATGTAGTAACAACTAGAATCTTCATCATTGCTCAGCCAATATCTGAGGCCTTGGCCATTTCTCAAGAAATTGCAGACGAAAGAATCTGGCAATTTGCCAGTCGTCTGCAATTTCAACAGTACAATCCGCAGATACATAGTCTGTACGATTTTCGTATTTGTAAAATGCCCATCCTCTGCACATTTGTGTTATGAGTTATGGGCATTTTCGAACCCAAGGTTTTTAGCAGTCCATACTGATTTTTCAGACTTTCTTCTGAACTTCTTAAAAGCTTCGGTAACAATCAGAAAGAGTTAACAAAGCGCAATGCAGTGCAACTTTTTCACACCCATAGCTGGCTTCTCAAAAATTCTAAAATTATATTTCCGATGCCATCAATTTCCATATTTACTCGTCACAAAATTCATAGAACATCAAATGGTGTCAGCTAAGGTCTGATTGCATTTATCCTTTCTGATGAGAGTTTTTTTCTTTTCAATACGTGGAGTCTTGGCGATAGAATTATCATGATTGGTAATTTTGAACCCGTCCAGTTCCAGCTGTACCCGTATAAGCCAAATTTAATAATTCGAAGCGGTAAATGCTCTGATGAATGTAAAATTGGTGTATATTCATTGAAAGTTCACAATTCCAATGAGTTGTTAGTGATCACAGCGCTTGTGTATTTTGCAACTTCCCAAAGCAGAAGACTTGGAAAAGTGATCTTAAGATTGAGAAGGCAGTTAAAGATGCGAAAAAAATTGCATTGCATTGCACTTCGTTCAAGCTATCTAAATGATACCAGAGCCTCAGAGTTCGAGATGAAGATTTTGAAAAGTTGCCAAAGTTAGGGATGGTAAGACATGGGTCGAAATTTCGGTGATTATTGCAGTAACCACAAGCGGAGTTAGAACGACGACGTGATTGCTAAAAGAGAAAGGAAAGCTGCGTCAGATAATTTTTGAAATTTTGCTTACCATCACCCCACGAGTTTTTATGATGGGTTGGAAAAACGGAAAAAAAATCTTTGGAACGACCTAAAATTTAGCAATGCTTGAAGCTAAGGTGGAGAATTTGACTCAGATTGTTGCGATACCATGATTCTACAAGAATGAAATAATAAGTAAATTGCTATAAAAACTTCGATAAATGTTGCATAGCGTGTAATATTATACGAGCAGGATTTTGCTTGCCTATCAAGACCTTATAATAACGGGCTAAGGGTTGTTTACGTGTTTTGTGTGTGTGTGTCTGTGTGTCTGTGTGTGTATGTCCGTCTGTTACGAAATTCGTAGAGCGTGTTCTAGCGGGCGTTCTAAGCCCAAATTTTGCACAGCGCATGCTACCTTCATGAAAGTCCAACATGCAAAAGCAAGAGTAGATTCGTTGAGTGGATCCCTCAGAAATTGCGCGCCAAACGGGTCCACCTGGCTTCTGTGCCGCAAAAATGGGTCCTTATCACTACTTTTGCAACGAGGATGTGGTTGATAAGCAAAAGTGCAAGTGATGGACTTTAGCCCGAAATATGGTCAAAAGTTTACTACATAACGAAAACGGCGCCAAAAAGAATTGATTGGTCGTAAATGGTCAATTTGCCAAGGTTCTAGCCAAGCATCTGGGAAGATTTTCGCACAAAGATGTAGCTCACGATTACTATTGCCTTTTTGGCGACTACCAAGCCATGACAACTTCAAAAACCTACTCAAATTTACGTTTGTCTCCCTGCGAACAGTTTCATCCACGCGAAATCACCGATCTCACGTGAAAAAACTTTTTAAATGAGTAGTTGTTTACATTTTATTCGTGGCAGTCGGCATAGCGCGGTGAGTTCCAGTGCCTCAATTTCACGAGAATGAGTAAGGCACACAGATAGCAGAGCCCAGTGCGAGCCTCTGCGAAGCAGAGGTGATGCACTGGTTTACATAATAAGCGCAAACTTTGAAAGCGAAATTACAGAGCACCCTAAGATTAGCGGTGTCAACTTTGCAGCAGTTCCACGACAGAATCGTTGTGAAATATGGACATTCATGTCAAACTGTCCAGATCATATTCTGCATATTTGTATATGCACTACAGATTGCAATGTGTTTTCTACAGAATCGGAAGAATAAATAAAGCAGACTATTGCTTCTCTCAAATCTTTTTGGAAGAAGTACCTGCTTAGGAAGGGCTACTTTGTGTTCAGAATCATTTGTGAAGTTTAGAGCAGGAGAAAGAAGTTTCCCTTTTTCCTTTTCCAAGTACATAAAGGAGAACATCGAACCAGAATTCATTCTGATATTGTTTCTTTTTGGAAGGCTTTAGCAGGCTCAATATAAAGCGTCAGCTAGGTCAGAGTGATAACTATACTTCCTTTTTCTCCAACATGTCTCATCATTTGCTCACCTTTTCCAAAACTTCTCGCGATCAATGTTTTTGCCCATGAATTTATTTTACCAGATAGTAAGTTCATCATTTTTTTGAATGTTAGTCATCATTTTCGTAGGTCTTTGAAAAAAACCATAATGCCCTTGGTTCCATCGTGCATTGCAAGTTCATATTTCGGCCTGTAAACACATTTGTAGCCATGTTTTGTTAGGAGTGTCTGGTTGGCTAGCGATGACGCTTCGGACATTATTCCTAAGATTCCTTGTTTCTAAAAGAGAAAAAAATCGTTCTTAAAGCGCTGTTTTATGACTTCAAAATGGCCAACCTTCAATTTTTCAAAGTCCAGTCCAAGATGCAACAGGTAGTTAGCAATGCCTTTTCGCTGATGCCTTCCCACTACGTAAGTAATTTCTCGACGGATAACTTTCTGTATTGAAGGGTCGATGATCTTCCAAAAATTCTCCTTTGACTCTTCCAGTATCTCACCGAAAACATAACTTGTGATGTTGATGATAGTTATCGGGCTGACTTACAAAGACGAATCACTCCTGGCTCCGTGGGAATTTCGAGTGGAATTGGTTCAACGTCCAGGCTGTGATCTCTATGTCCAACAGATAGAAGGCGAAAGCCTATCAAATTTTTGGTTCCCTGAATGAATAAGCAGATTCGAATCTTCACCTCCCAACATTGTTTCTTCCAATCAACAATTTCGCAAAGCGTACCTTTTCGTGTATTCGATATGAGTAAGGATAATGTAGAGCTTTTGCGGTGATGTATTCGAAAACATTCCTTGAATTCTCAGGTGTCGCACCCAAGGCCTAAAGAAAAGGACACAAGTTCAAAATACTAAAGGGTGTGTAGAGACCGCTAAATTACTTTAGAAACGTACTGTTTGTCATTCTGGTCTGCTTTCAACCTGAAAACCGATATGCAGACCAAATATAAACTACCATTACGAAAGTTATCGCCATTGTTCTTATATTCTTATATATTCTTATATTCTGCTGCGTATAAGAGGATTGCGAATTCTGCTGCGTATAAGAGGATTGCGAAAATTTTTGGGAGTTATTACCTGTCACTCGACTCAGTTTTGTCGGCTACAAAGGCTTGACTACGGGACTAGTCATGGTCAAGCTCTTGTATCTCGAATCATTTACATTGAAAGTACGAGGTTCAGGCTACTGACTGACAAATAACTCGTCCGCTGAAAGTTGTGCGGTAAAAAAATGGAGTGTTTTCACAAGCTCAAAAAATGTGGCTACCACACTTTTCTAGGGCTTGTGTCACACTTCCATTATTTTTTTCAGCTAGTTTTACGAATGGTCCTTGGATCCACCAGTTCGAATTTCGTAGCTTTGTGGAATGGGAATAATTTTTACTTTTGCGAACATTATTGGAGTTGGCAAAATAATCTCAGTCATCTTTAAAGGTTTTAGGTATAAACAAAACTTATATATGTAAGGTTGGTACCACTGGAACTAAACCAGGAGAATAGGATAGTTTACTCCTTTTTTACAAAAACTTCTGATGAGGAAATGATGCGCCTGGATAAAGGTTAATGGCGCCTTTACCTGATGATTTACATTGACCAAAGGTTCGCTACTTTCCAATCTCCTTTATGAGCAGCTGTTATGTAATAGCTGCATCCCAACATCTCCATCCCTTCAGAAAGCTCGCCTTCGAGCTTGTTCGGCTGTTGTTGAACGTCTTCCGAGTTACGTAAGGAAGGTACACGTTTTATAGCGAGACCACAGAATTACTTACTTAGATACTTAGATGGCCCGGCTTCACGTGACGTGCGGGCCCCAGCTCAGCAGTTTCCATTTCTCCCTGTCCCTCGCTTCTGACATCCACGATCTTCTTGGCTGACGCCGGTGGCTGCGTCCACGAGTTCCAGGTGCAAAAATCGTATCCAGCTGATTTCTCAGCTGGTCCATCCGTTCCACGAACACGTCTGCCCATCTCGTTGGTGGTCTTCCTCGGGGACGTTTTGCTTCGCGAGGAATCCACTCCGATGTTCTTAGTGTCCATCTGTCGTCTGTTCTTCTCATGATGTGACGGGCCCATCGATGCTTCGCTTTCGCAACGTAATCCGCTGGGTCACGAAGACGGGACATTCTCCTCATATCCGTACTGCGAAGTCCGACGAGATGTTGTTTGTGTCGGGTCATCTTCAGAAGACTACGCTCTAGCGCTCTGTGGGTGGTCCTTAAAGCTTTCGAAGTGGCGACGGTGTCAGCCCAAGTCTCAGCTGCGTAACAGAGCGCCGGGAGAACGGTTGAGTCGAACAGGTGGGCACGAAGCTCCGGGTCCGTCAGTTGGTCGGTGGCTTCCTTCAGAGGCCCGAAGGCGGCCCAGGCTGCTCTTCTTCTCCTGTTAAGTTCTTCCCTCAAGTCGTTCTCCATGTTCATCGAACGTCCGAGATACACGTAAGAAGACGTCTCCGTGATAGGGGTGCCTTCCAATTCCATTTCTGCATCTTCGCAAAGGGCGTTCTTCATGAACTGAGTCTTCTTCCGATTTATTCGCAGTCCGATCTTCTTCCCTACTTCGTTCAGTTCCTTCAGCATCGTCTCTGCTTCAGTGATACTGCTCGAAAAGAGAACGATGTTGTCCGCAAAACGAAGGAATCTCCCATCAACTCGTATGCCTCTCTCGTCCCAGTCCAGTGACTTCATCACCCACTGCAAGGCCGCGGTGAACAGCTTCGGCGAAATCGTGTCGCCATGTCGAACCCCCTTCCCAATTGGGATGGTCAGGGGGCGATGGAATAGCTGCATCGTCGTTGTACAGTCCTTGTAATAGTCGGCTAACGTCCTCACGTAAGCTGGGTCCACTCCTTGATCGACTAGCGCAGACTGGATGGCGTTGGTTTCGACGCTGTCAAAGGCTTTCTCGTAGTCGACAAAGGTCAGGACGAGAGGCAGTCGGTATTCCCGGCAGACTTCTATGACCCTCGAAACCGTCTGGATGTGGTCCATGCAGCTGAATCCTTTGCGAAACCCAGCTTGTTCTTGGGGTTGGGCTTCATCCAGTGTCCTAGATATGCGAGCGAGGATAATCTTCGTGAAAAGCTTGTACAGCACACTCAGCAGGCATATTGGACAGTAGTTCCGAAGATCTTCCCGTTCACCCTTCTTGAAAAGAAGGACGGTTCTTGGTGTTCTCCACTGGTCGGGAATCCTTTCCTTCTGAAGGTAAGTTGTTAGGTGCGACGCGAGGATCTCGTGTAGATGTTGTCCTCCAGCTCGCAGATATTCGACGGAAAGATGGTCTGGTCCTGGAGCCGTGGACGTCTTCATGGTCTGAATCGCTGTGCGCACTTCAGCAGGTAGAATTCGTGGTGGTACTTCTCCAGTGGGAACAACGGGCATCGGCACGGGTGTTGATGAGCGGAAGAGGTTGGTATAGAAGTTCTTCGCGATAGATTCCATCTTGTATCGGGAAGAAGTCGGAGTCCCGTCTTCGTTCAATAGTGCAGCCAGCGGTACTTGATATTCGCAGAGGTCCCTTCGGCATTTCCTAAGACTTCGTCTTTCTTCGGCTGCTTCCAATCCGGCTTGCCTGTACTTCCTGAGATCCTCCTGCAAAGCTGTTCTGCAACTGGCGTTGGCTATCAGTCGCTCGAGATGGGTTGCATTCGGATCCTGCCTCAGAAATCTTCTTCTTTCAAGCATTTCCTTGGTGGTCTTCGAAACGCGTTCAACATACTTCTCGGAAGTCACTGAGGCGCACTCTCCGCAGGCTCGCAATCCTTTCAGAAGCCGGTCGTAGTCGTACGTTGGGTCCTCCTCGATGGGCCAGTCACAACTTGATATGAGCTCCTCCAGCCTGTTACCGTCATAAACGACATTCTTCCTTCTTGCGGCATTGTGGCAGACCTTCTTTTCCAGCCTTCGACTGAATCGTACCTTTGCTCGAAGGAGGCGGTGATCGGAGCCACTGCAGAAGGATGGAACTACTGAGATATCGAGCAAGCTCCACCTTCGGTTGGTGAGAATGTGGTCGATCTCCGCGTGGGTCGTTCCGTTGGGCGATTCCCATGTCCACCGGCGATGTTCTTTCTTCATAATGATGGAATTTTCATGGAAAAGTCGTGCGGCGGAGAGAAGCCCAACAAGACGGTTGCCGTTTTCGTTCCGGAGCCCATATCCAAACTTCCCAATCCTATATCCTTTTCCAGTGGCATCCCGATTTTCGCGTTGAAGTCGACCACAACAAACTTATAAAAGGACTTCTCGTTGCGGACGACCTCCTCCACATCTTCGTAGAAAGCATCTAGTTCTGATTCGCCAGCTGCTGATGTTGGAGAATAGCAGTAGATGATGCTGATGGTCTTCTGATGTGGAGGTCGTAGTCGTAGGATGCCTAGTCGAGGTGATAGGATCTCGTGCGAATCGACAAGATGGACGATAGATGGATGGACGACAAAGCCGACGCCTCCCACGTTTCGTGATGGAGCCTTTTCACCACGAATGATGAGGGTCCCATCACTCATCTGTCGCACGTCCTTCTTCCTGGACTTCGTTTCCTGCAGAGCGATGATGTGGTAGTTGATGTGCTCTGCAGCGTCGAGAAGAGCGTGTAGGTCGGCGTTTGTGGAGACTGTCCTGGCGTTGTAGGTGCAGAGCATGAGGCAATCTCCATGGCGTGTCGTCCGGGCAGACGTGTCGTTTTTGTCCAATCCGAAAGGCGCCCTGAGTAGCCTGACATCGTTCTTGCTACCACCCGGCGCCGTAGGCGGGATCCGATGTACAGGGTTTTTTCTAATTCTTCTTGCTGTCTGAGTAATAAAATTTGTTCCCCTACAAGAGGTGGCTTACTAGGCCTACTCTTGATTTCCACGGGGCGATCGCTGACCCCGGGCTTGGAGCGGGGAGGGACCGCCTAGCGACCAGAAGAAGCCAGACGACGGAGGATCTGGCGTGGCCAGTTCTTAGCTAGGCATCCGGCCGAAACCGGAAACGTCGAACTCCTTCACAGCTTGGGAGGCCCTACCAGAGTATACACTCGGCTGTGCATCGCAGTTCGACACCCAGTGTCACCCCCACGCCACGATGAGGCGACCGACCATTGTGGGGGACCACAGAATTCGACTTTGGTATTATATTATGCTCACAAGCAGCAGTAATGTTATGTTGCAATATTATGCTGCTCCTCTTTCTCACCACATTTAGTCAAAAAACATTGATAAATTTATGACATCCCTATTCGGAAACATTCATAATAGCTGCTGCTGGAATCGCTTGTAACAAATCTTGTGAGACATTTCATACGAAGCCGCCTCTAACAATAGGAAGTATACATACTCACTGGCTTGTATTGCTTTGTTGCTTTGTTGACTGAACAGTTTTGAGAGAATATTTAACTTTTTTATTACTTTTTCCTTTGCATTTTTGTTTTGGAAAGAAGCATGGAAACTTCTTTATTATTGTTATTACTTTGACTTGACTGAAAAAGAGTACTGCATAAAAATGAGATTTTTCTACCTTAGCAATCACAGATCTTAGCAGAGTTTTGCAGCAGACTTTTATTCAGAACCATTAACTTCAGCCAACATTGTTTTTGATGGATGTGTGATTTGAACGGTTGATCAAGACGGTAACAGAGTTTATTGTGGTACAATAGCCTACGTTCCGACCTGTCGCCCTCGTCGGGCTTGGAAGTTGAAGTCATCAGAATATATTCCCTCCGACGTCAACAAAAAACTCAGAGTACTATTTGAGAGAAATAAAAACAATAAAAACAATAAAAACATAGTCAGAGCAACACAACATTAAAATTAGCCAGGAGCAAAACGGAAGTTGGAAGACGCCGT